CCAGTGCCCTCAGGCCTTCTATTGTTAATATAAACTGTGCATACATTTTAGAGACCTCACATTTCCCGCCCCGCCCCCATGGCACTATACCATGAAGAATATATATTTTGGGATAGGAGGTACAAAATGGCTTGAAGTTTCTTCCTACATTTATTTGGATAAACTCTACCAGTTCCGATTGCAGGTGGTGATCTTGTGGAAGTTCTACCATAAAAATACATTCCCTCCACATTAGCAAAAAATAGATAACAGAGGAAAGACAAGACTTTAGCTCTTCTCTTTCAGTGAAAAGTTCTTTTGTATGGAGGAGCGCCCAGTCTGTCAAAGAGAAGAGCTGAAGGCTTGCCTTTCCCTTGGTATCTAGTATTTTATGTGGAAGGAATATCCTTTTTGTGGTAGGGTTTCTGTAATAAGATCTTCCACCTGCAGTTTGAAGTGGTACTGTCTAGACACAGGTTTGTCATCTATTTCACTAAATATGACAAAAAAACCACCCTTTCACCTACCTCAGAATATGGATGTAGTTCTTTTATCTCAGGGTGGCGGAGCAGGGCATGTTGCCAGTGTGGAGAGCAGTTTGGGAAAGTTCCCAAAATATGTACGTTTATTTGAGCTGTCTTGACCTGCTGTGGGTACTTGTGTATAAGTGATCCAGGTGGCATCACTGCCACAGGAGTATTGATCCTTAATTCCAACAGCTGCCTTCAGCTTTTTCAAATGTATCTTCGGTAATGGTTATCACAGTCTACTGTGCCACTTGTTAGTTTTGATAGCCAGCTGTTAACACCTAAGTTTACAGAACAAAGTTTGAGTCCAATGGCACCTTTAAGACCAACAGGATTTTATTCAAGGTATAAGCTTCCATGTGCACACAAATTTCTTAAGATACAATGAAATGGAAATTACCAGTCCATACATTGAGGTAGAGAGTAAGCAGTAAATTAGCATACAACATAATGAAGATGTTTAACAGATTCAAGGACCAAACAGGAATAACAAATTTAGTTTATATGGTTAGGTTTAATGATTGTGGGGACTCAGTAGACTAGCTGCTTGGGGACATTCACGTTATTGATAAGATTGCACTCCCTCTAAAGGGGCAGGTTCTTATTATCTTACTGTTATTTTGACTCAAAGGTCTTGAGCAGATTGTCCAATCCACTTGCAGTCAATCAGTACAGCTAAATATTTACTGGCTGCTAAAGGTAGTTTTTCAATCCTCATCTACAAGGAAAGACTGGACGATTTTTTGAGATGGTAAATTCACATCATCTATTAAGAGGGAGGACAAATACTTTTCTCTCAAATCAGACCGGATTTCACACTTCAATGAGATATGTTCTAAGGACTCAAATTGACAAGATCCACATTTACAAACTATGTCTGAATGTGCTATGCCCGCAAATTGGCCTTCTAGTATGGCTGAGGGAAAAGAGTTTAACCGAGCGAGCATAAATGCTCTTCTATAAAGAGGAATTGTTAGGTCTTTAAGTAGCTCAGAATAGCATAAGAGAAGGGAACTCCAAAGAACACTAGTGAGCATACACTCTGTGCCCTCGGTAAGGTACTTGTTCTATCCAAGTTCAGAGGGCTTTATTTGTTTTATGATATCCATATTGTTGTCATCAAATCTATTCTTCCATGGCCCCATCTAAGGGTCTTTCTCAATAAGATTCAATAAGGGTCTTTCTCAATAAGATTTAAAATCCATTTCCTTGCATTGGAGAATTTTTGCTTTAATTTAAATGCCAAGATCCAATGAATTCTGGGCCAGTTCAGCTCTAAGAGCAATACCTGAAATACAGTTTGGTACACAAGAAACCTTGCAGATAAACTGTAACAGAGGCTGATCAAATGATTCATCCACCGCCTGTATTGAGACCCCAATTCCATACAGTAATTTTTATTTATATATTTATTTACATGTGACTTCTATACCGCTCATGACCCCTACTGGGTCTCAGAGCGGTTTACAGGTGGCCTACATTATTGTAGTCAGATCCGACCTAGGGTGACAATTGTGCAGGGAGGGGTTGCCTAACAGCACCCGGACGACAGGCTTCTCTCCGTTCTCGGTGGCTCCGGCGTAGTCTTGGCATTCCGGCGAGCGGCGACCATCAGCGGGCTGCAGATGGACCCTCCATTGATGCGCACTGCTCCTGGACTGCGGCGTTCCCGGCTACTCGTCCCTACGGGCAACTACCTTAGAACTGAATTCCTGAATAGCACCTTATTGCCACCTTGGATGAAGAAGAATGGAGTAATGTTATTACTGATGAATCTAGCTTTTTCTATAGCACTAGTCAGATGGGCCTTCTAGCTCAAATTTGATTGAAAGGTGACCCCCCCTGTTCAACTGGTTGTCCATTTATGAACCATTTATATACCGGGGAGTATAGGATTTAGCAAACACCATATTTTTTTTATTTTGCATAGTTATGACTAGTCTTTCTTTTACACAGTATTCCACAATTGCTTTTAATAGTTTATGCAAACCAAGCAGAAATCATGATCAAAGGGGCAGTTTGATAAAATATGGATATTTCCAAACCTATTGCTAGTGGCTTCCTAGAAAGCGATTGTGGCCTGGAGTGCCTTTTACCGCCTTTGGATAGTCTACCAGCTATTTTGTGTCATCTCTCTGGGGTATAGAGACCAGGCTACTATCGTTTATGCTTGTTGGCTTTCAAATTATGATATTGTTTAGCAGTCTGCATTGACTTGCACTTGAGGATAATCCAGACATTTTGGCTGGCTCAAATGCCACTACTGATTTACGCTTTGATAGGTTTGTCAACATAATGTTACTGTACTAAGAGATATGTGCAGCTTATCCCTTTGTTTCTGATCTGTGGTCAAGGTGCTAGTTTCAATTCATTAAATCCTGATTAGGGTGGATCCTGATTATCTTGGTACTCCAATCTGATGGAATCTTATGATGACCATCTTCTTCCATATGATCCTATCTAATGGGGGCCAGCTAGTATTGTTTCTCCTAGCATCCACAAATAGCAGGGCCTTTTCTTTTGTAGCACTGGAAAGTCCCGTCCTGTCCCCCCCCCCCCCCACTCCCTGGCAGTCTTCTGTAGAGAGGTAAAGACATTCTTTCCCACAGAGCTTTTGGGGGGAAAGTGCATTTAGAATAATATCCGGTTCGCTTACTTTGTCTTGATTTTGTTTTATGCTGTGTTGTGTGTTGTTTTAGAACTGTATTGTCATAATTTTGCGAACCTTGAGGAAACTCATAGAAAGTCTGGAGGCTTCCACGTATATCCTGCAGGGTAACTTATGGGTAAGATCAATACTGACCACAAGTTAAAAAAAGAATAACATAGTGACCTCTTATCAGTAGGAGCAAGCTACCTTTTAAAGCCTCTGTGACAGTCCTTTTATTTCAGCAGCTTCGGAGAGATCCCTTGCTAGCTCTGTTTCAGTAACTCTAAACTGTGCAGAAAAACACAGTTCCTGTTGGACTGCCCCATTGTAAAGTAACCCTTGCAAGGAGGAATAGTTGAAGGTATTCTGTATTAAACTTCATTGAAAGAAACATGATAGTGGAACACTATCTAGTGTACCCCTAGATTTCATGCAAAACTATGCAAAGGTCTATGTGTTTTTAAATAAAGCATTCAGTGGTGTGTCCCTGAAAAGGTAGTGACATCTAATGGTTGGTAGGGACAGCTACAGGCAGCTGATCTCGTCTATTTTATTTTTCATGAGAACTGAAGGCATCCATGATGTATATACCCTGTAATTAGTATCATTGTTGGGTTGTTACAGTCAACTTAATGAAAAATTGTAGAGTAATATAACATGACACCAAAAAAAATCTTATATCAGCTAGTGGAGTTTTTTCTCTGTATCATTTGTGAAACGTTTTGTGGAAAAGAAATTGTTGCATTTAGTCTATTTTGTTGTGTAATCAATTTTAGTATTTTTACCTTTCTTTTTTCTCAACAAATCTAACAGTTGTGTTGTGCCCCTTCCATTGTGGGCAGTGCTCTCCCTCTGCTGAAGAGGATTGTTAGACCAAACTCATCATTGAGAATGTTTGGGAATTATTGATTTTCAAGAATGTTGACAAGCATTTGCATAAGAATGATTAAGCCTGTTGTGTTGATATTTTTGAGCAACATATCTGTTGACAGTTTTATATTTTTATGAAATGTTTTCATTGTTAAAAAATATCTTATATTTTTAAAGGGCTGATGACTTTCATATTGGAACCTCCTAATGGCATAGTACTGGCTATGCTTACTGATGATATGTAATTGAATTACCATTAACATTGCAATCTATTAGCATAATAGGCCACACACAACAGCAGAAACTTATTAGCATATTATGCCACATCCCTGACAGCGCAGATCTACCCTCACAGAGGAGGGAGAGCTTGTACCTGAATAAACCTTGATCTTAAAGGTACCACTGGACTCTTTTGGATTGCTAGCTGGGGGGAGGGGGAATGCACAGATCTGCCCTCACAGAGGAGGGAGAGCTTGTACCTGAATAAACCTTGATCTTAAAGGTACCACTGGACTCTTTTGGATTGCTAGCTATGGGGGGGAACACGCAGATCTGCGAAGGAAGGAAGGAGGGAAGGAAGGAGGGAGGGAGGAAGGGAGGGAGGGAGGGAGGGAAAGGGTCTCCCTTTAAGTGCAGGGAGCCGGCAGGAAAGGGCCCCGCGCGCCCGATCTCCGCTCAAAGATTGGGCGGGCAGGGGCCGCCAACTCCCTGCACTTAAAGGGGCTCCCTTTAAGTGCAGGGAGCTGGCAGGAAAGGGGTATGGCCAAATCGGAAGGCAGCCGGAACGCCATTTCAATGCGTTCCAGCCCAAAAATAGCCCTGATTTCAGGTAAAAATAAACATATCCCGTAGAGGAATGATAACAGAGATTGCATTCACACAGGAGGGTCTAAATATAAAGAAACACACTACCTGGTTTCTGTTAAACTGGTTCTCCAGGTTTTCTTCCAACTTACCTTATTGTTTTATTTTAGGTACTAAGGCGGCTGCAGAATATACAAATGGCGTCTATGATATTGTGTCACCGGCTCAGTCTATGTACTTTGGCACACTCCAAATCCTGCACCTGTTGGAAGACCTGAAGATGGCATTAGAGATGCTCAAGGATCCTCAAGAGAGAGAGGCTTTAAGGAATCAGATCCCAGGGACTACTGCAGCATGTATACGTGCCTGGCTAGAGGAAAATCTGGTGAGTAGTTTTCTGCCTGACTTGTATGGGAGGAAAATTGATACCTGTATTACATATTTGTGTGTGTGCATGCTTATGACTTTTTTCCCATTTAGAATATAAAAACAGCCAGATAGCTTGTTGAAATTACTTCATCTTGGCCATGTTGGCTTTTAGGATGGTCCCATAGCTCCGTGGGAGCAGGAAAAGTGCTTGTGTGGAGCCAAACTAGATGTGATGGCAGCACATCCATGTTAAACAAAGTCTCCCATAGTCACATAGGGAAGCATGGTATTTATTCAGTGCATTTTACCTTCGCCCCCAGGAGCTCAGGATCGTAAACAGAATCCGTCCCTCCTCCACTGTGTCCTCACAACAACCTGTGAGGTATGTTAGGCTGAGTGTGTGTGACTAGCCAAAGGTTACCCAGTAAGATTCATGATAGAGTGGGGGTTTGGACCTGGGTCTCCTGACTATACTTCACTGCCCCCCTGAGATGTCTGATTTCAGGAGAAAAAGGGAATGAATGATCAGGGTAGAAATTTCTTCTGAAAATCACTTAACTTGCTATAGCATTTCCCCCCCTTCCAGCCAAGCCCATTTCTAGTATTGGAGCCAGCTGAAACAAAATGATATTAGAGGGCAGACTGTGTGTGTGTGAGAGAGAATATAAGCTGTGGGCTTTGTGAGGGTTCTACCCTCCAAACCCTATTCCTACTTTCTCTGTGTTTTCAGCATTTTTTCTTCATTTAAACATACACAACCTCCCTGGCTTGACTCTGTAGCACATAACTAAATACTAGATGGAACAATGTCTTGATAAGTATTTAGTGTCATGGCCGTCACAAATGGTAGCCCTTCAAGACATCAGAACTGCACTTACATGAGGTATGGGGGGCAGTAGTGTTAATGGCAGAGAACTCAGACCAAGTGTGATCCACTGGAGAAGGAAATGGCAACCCACTCCAGTATCTTTGCCAAGAAAACCCCATGGACAGTAACAAAAGGCTAAAAGATATGACGCCGGAAGATGAGCCCCTCAGGTCGGAAGGTGTCCAATATGCTACTGAGGAAGAGCAGAGGGCAAGTACAAGTAACCCCAGAAAGAGTGAAGCGGCTGGGCCAAAGCCGAAAGGACGCTCAGTTGTGGATGTCTCTGATGGTGAAAGGAAAGTCCAATGCTGCAAAGAACAATATTGCATAGGAACCTGGAATGTAAGATCTATGAATCAGGGTAAGCTTGACGTGGTCAAAAATGAGATGGCAAGACTGAACGATATCTTAGGAATCAGTGAAAAGTGGACAGGAATGGGCGAATTTAACTCAGAAGACCATTATATCTACTACTGTGGCCAGGAATCTTGTAGAAAAAATGGTGTGGCCTTTATAGTCAACAAGAGAGTGCAAAAGGCAGTACTGGGATACAATCTCAAAAATGATAGAATGATTTCGGTCCGATTCCAAGGCAAACCATTCAACATCACAGTAATCCAAGTCTATGCCCCAACCACTGATGCAGAAGAGGCTGAAGTGGACCGGTTCTATGATGACCTACAACACCTCCTAGAACTAACACCAAAAAATGATGTCCTCATCATCATAGGGGACTGGAATGCTAAAGTAGGAAGTCAAAAGGTAACCGGAATAACAGACAAGTTTGGCCTTGGAAAGCAAAATGAAGCAGGGCAAAGGTTAACAGAGTTTTGTCAAGAGAACACACTGGTCATAGCGAACACCCTTTTCCAACAACCTAAGAGGCGACTCTACACATGGACATCACCAGATGGGCAACACCGAAATCAGATTGACTATATAATTTGCAGTCAAAGATGGAGAAGCTCTATCCAGTCAGTAAAAACAAGACCTGGAGCTGACTGTGGTTCAGATCATGAGCTACTCATTGCAAAATTCAGACTTAAACTGAAGAAAATTGGGAAAACCACGAGGCCATTCAGGTTTGACCTAGATCGCATCCCTGATGAATATACAGTAGAGGTGAAGAATAGATTCAAGGGTCTGGATTTGATAGATAGAGTGCCTGAAGAACTATGGACAGAGGTTCGTGACATCGTACAGGAGGCAGCAATCACCACCATCCCAAAGAAAAAGAAATGTAAGAAAGCAAAGTGGCTTTCTGATGAGGCTTTACAAATAGCAGAGGAAAGAAGGAAAGCGAAAGGCAAAGGCGAAAAGGAAAGATTTACCCAACTGAACGCAGATTTCCAGAGAACAGCAAGGAGAGATAAGGAGGCCTTCCTGAATGAACAGTGCAAAGTAATAGAAGAAAACAATAGAATGGGAAGGACTAGAGATCTCTTCAAGAAAATTGGAGAAATCAAGGGAGCGTTCCATGCAAAGCTGGCCATGATAAAGTTGTGAATGCTTCTTTATCACAGTTGCATGATTCATATATTGTAAGTTCTCTGGACTGTGACCATCTCTTTGTTTGCCACTTTATCCCCCCAACCAAGACTTGGGGATTTTTTGTGCAACAAAGACACCTGTGTGAAAAAAACTTTCACTACCAACTCTTCCACAGTAGACAAGATAGTTCCAAGAAGAATGAAAGGCATAATCGGTCGTCTCTGTTTTCTCTTAGATGGAATTCCGGTCACCAGCCAAGATCTTGTTAACTTTCCACACCATTTCTCCTCTAGAAACTTAGTCTTTTTAAAATTCTGATTGAAGACTTATGGTGTGTTTTTTCCTTCATAATAGCTTCCTTTTGCCTTGAGGGATCTGACTCAATGCGTTTCACAGTGCGGCTTCTCAAGTAAAACACAGGACTAGGAAAGACCAACCAAACTCACAGACCTGCCTATTGAGAGGACAACACCCCGCACCCCACCCCAGCTACGTGGAAATTCTTGCTGTCCTGCAAGGAACATTGTCAATTTGTTTGTGGTGAACGGGCCCCATTAACAGGGTGGATGCACATAAGGTCGTGTGTTCATCTGTGCCTGTTCACACTGGGCTTTTCTACATGCTTGCCTTACTCCTGATTTTCTTAGGAGTCAATCCACAAGCGCTGGAATCAATTTGGGGATGGTGGTTCCACATGTCTGTGCATTTTCATAATTGTGGAGCCAGTTTATTTTATTTATTCATACCCCACCTTTCTCTCCAATGGAGACCCAAAGTGTATTAGAAGAAGAAGAGAAGAAGAGATTGGATTTATACCTCGCCCTTCACTACCCATGATAACAGCATGATAAAAAGTAGAGACATCACCCTGCCAACAAAAGTCCGCATGGTCAAAGCAATGGTATTCCCAGTAGTCATGTATGGCTGCGAGAGTTGGACTATAAGGAAGGCCGAGCGCCGAAGAATAGATTCTTTTGAACTATGGTGCTGGAGAAGACTCTTGAGAGTCCCTTGGACTGCAAGAAGATCAAATCAGTCAATCCTAAAAGAAATCAACCCTGACTGTTCCCTGGAAGGCCAGATAATGAAACTGAAGCTCAAATACTTTGGCCACCAAATGAGAAGGGAGCACTCACTGGAGAAGACCCTGATGCTTGGAAAGATTGAAGGTCAAAGAAGACGGGGACGGCAAAGGATGAGATGGTTAGACAGTGTCAAAGATGCAACGAACATGAAATTGAGCCAACTTCGGAGGACGGCGGAGGACAGGAGGGCCTGGAGGGAGCTGGTTCATGGGGTCGCGAAGAGTCGGACTCGACTGTGCGACTGAACAACAACAGTGTTAATGGAGTGTATCTGCATGAGAAGGCAATTGTAAGAATTGGCTTCAGTCACTGTAGGAGAATTTCTAGATCTTGTTGTCTTGTAAGTTAATGTGCACTAACACTATGGAACACTTTCAGTCAGTTTCTTATTAGCAAAGTGACCTCTCTTCAATCAGTCTGTTGTTAGCAAAGCGCCCTGCCTTCAGATTGAGTGCCCTAGAAGTATTGCATTGCATTTGGAGATTGAGACTGGGAATCAGAGACAGGTACAGATTTCAAAACATCTCACTTTAGTCTTTTTGAAGTCTGTCAGAAACGCACATGCTTTGTAATGAAGTGCAGAAAGGTTAGCATGTGACTGCAAATCAGACTTCCTGAATGGCCATCAATCCATTCTGAAACTGGATAGAAATTGCATTTAAAGATACCCTTCTATTTTTTGTGTGTGCACCAACAGAGGGGTGAAAAGCTGTAAGTGATCCATTTCAATTTGGTCATAGGGGAACATCTCTTCAAGGTGGTCCTGACACTAGGTTTCCACTTCTGCAATGTTAAAGAATGTTTATGTTGATCTTTGTGAGCCTATCTGAGCTTGATGGAAGGGCTAGATGTAAATATTTTAAATAAATACATTGGACAGCTTTTTAAAGAAAAGCCACAGGAGGTGGTGGTGGCTACAAGCATGTACGGCTTCAAGAGGGAATATTCTTGGTATTCAAGTGATGCACTGTATTCTTGGTGCTGGGGGGGGGGCGCAACAGTGGGAGGGCTTCTAGTGTCCTGGCCCCACTGATGGACCTCCTGATGGCACCTGGTATTTTTGGCCACTGTGTGACAGAGTGTTGGACTAGACAGGCCATTGGCCTGATCCAACATCGACTTCTCTTACATGGAAAATGCACCCTGTGGTAGGGCTCTTAGAATTTACTGTAAGGCACATGACAAGCAATTCATATACCATGTTTTACAAATAGTGTTTTGTTTACAACTAGCCCTGAACCGTAAATCCTCAAGGGCTTTGGATTAGTTTTGTTCCCTCGTGCTTCCTCTGTACTAATATTAATTACAGGCTTAGAGGTAGGGATCTCATATTGTTCAATTTGACGTTAGACCTTACTGTTTGGAAATAATCTTGAAAGTAAATGAATGTTCTCTCATCTAGTGCTTTCATGTTCTGGAAATAGACTATTATTGGAGAATTACAATTTTCCCTCTCCAAATTGTTATATGTCAGTTTTTAAAATTCTATAATTAGCTATATTGAGCTTGATGAAGTGTCCAAGTAGTGCACTTTTTCAAATATATAGTAGAATTTAACTTGTTTTAATGAAA